CGGGAAAAAAAAAAAACTTAATCCAAGAAATAAAAAGCTGCAACAGTCCTTTGGAAATTTGATATTCATATCACTTGAAAATGTTAGTCTTCATAAATGTACAAATATTCCAATCTCCTGTTTACCTACATTTCAATGATACAGTCAATTTTAAACCTACCACCTCACACATCAGCATATATACAACAAAATGTCTCTTCACCTTAAAAATTTTTTTTTAAATTTAAAAAAAAAAGAAAGACAGTATTTATCTGTCTTTATTTTTATTATTCTGTTTTTAAGATTTAAGAAATTCAAGATCTAGTCTTATCAAACACCTGCCAAAATAATCAATTTTGAAAGAAAAAAACAAACAAAAAAAAACATGTCTCTTGGAAGTCACTTTAACTATAAGGCCAGGTAAATTCAATGTGTTTATATTTTAACAGTACACTGCTAATCAAATTACTCCTATTCCACCTAAAAAAAAAAGTTAAATCACACTAAATATTCAATGAGAAACTTAAAATTTAAAAATAAAATGAAAGGAAATATAAAAAATGTTATGAAATTCATGTCAAAAAATGAAAATGCATGAGAGTTAACAATTAAGAAAATAAAACACTGAAAAAATGTATTAAGATATTTGGCTCTGTCAGAATGCAGAAAAATTGAGAAAAATAGTGATGGAAATTGTTTACTGTTGTTGCTAAATGTAGTCCTGTTTCTTTTTTAAATATAGAAAATATTCCCTAAAATATAGTTAATCTAAACATTTATTTATATATAAAAAAATTTTTTTTAAAAATGATATTTTTTAATCATATGAGATTATATAAAGTCCTGGGTATGATGATAAAATATATCCAGCAAAACCTCTGGTCTGGAGACTGGAGGTTTTGAGGAGTGTGGAACTACCTCTTAATTGCTTCTGTTCCCAGGTCCACCCTGACACAGGGTGGTAACACCTGTTAGGATCAAATCTATGGCCTAATAGTGAACCCCCCTCAAAAAAAAAAAAAAAAAAAAAAAAAAAACCATGAAAGTATAAAAATACATTTTCATATAAAAAATTATCAACGATACATATTTAAAGCAAAATGACCAGCAATATATCAAAGTAGAATTACCAACAATAGATTTTATCTATAGTTGAAAGCATACAATTGTGTTCAAAATATATTTAGCTGAAGCCATGAAATTGTGTTCAAAATATTTAGCATTTTGGCATTTAATAATCCACAGAGGTTGATATGTCACTAAACTAAATCAGCCAACCAACATGAAAGAACTCTTTCATGACATTAATCCATATAATATCCTCCAATTTATTAAAGAAATCAAACTGTATCCCAAAATATAACTTCAATAAAACTACAACATAAAACACATATCACCACCTCTAGTAAATATGTCCTCACAAACATGTATATGTACAAAAGCTGAGTAACATCTACCATTTATTCAATTGTGAAAACAGAATAACATTTTTATTACTTCAAAGCTCCCAAGAAAATTAAATTTTAGCATTTTGTGTGTGTATAATTTATTAAAAAATCATAACATAAATATGTTATAAAATCACTACAAAAATAGCCATTTTGTTTCAACACTTGTGGTGTCTTATCAAGTGATGGTTTTGACTGTCATTCACTCTACTCTGTATTGAGCACTATTAAGAATAGTATTTTTCAGTTATTGGAATTTATTCTATATATATGTGTGTGTGTGTGTGTGTGTGTGTGTGTGTGTGTGTGTGTGTGTGTGTGTGTGTGTGTGACAAGGTCGGTCTGCTTAATTTTTTTATTATACTTTTCCAACTTTCATATAAGATGTTGAGTATTATGTTCGAAATTGTAGATAAACTGTCGAAGTCACTTTTTTTTTTTGTTGTTCAAATACTTTTGATTTCCCAGTCATTATTATAAACTGATGTGGAATCTGCATGGTAGTTTTATCTCCTTTGACTGCATCTTGATATTCATTTGGACGCTGGATGTTTGAAATGGTCTAACATGACATCATATGTTACTGCTATTGGGAATGAGGCAGTACAAAAAGATTGCGATTTATTTTATTTATCAATTAATTTTTGTATTTCTAATATTAATGTGTGTACATCAATTATATCATATGCACTTGAAGATACAATCTCCTGTGGTGAATGATATTTTATTTAATGTAAGCTGTTTATTTTGCATAATAATAGCTTCTAGAGTTTTGAGTCTTTCCTTGCATTGGGTGCTGCAGAGTATTTTGGTGTTGTCAACTAATATAGTTACATTTTGGTTATATATATATATATATATACACACACACACACACACACACACACATGGTGCTATAGATAAATTGTCTAAATTACACAAAAATGAAAATAACATTGACATCTCATTTTAACAGATATATCTACCAAAATTACACAAAAATATCTTGAAATACTAAAAAGTAAGTTTATTCAATAAAATCCCCATTGGTTTCAACCATGGCCTCCAGATGACTTTGGTATCTCCTGCAACTTTTCTGGACAGTCTCCTTGTTTATGTTGGTAAATGCTGCAATAATCTTTGCTTTCAGTTCATCTTTGGTGTTACTAGGAGTTTTGTTGGTCTCTTGCTCAAATGCACCCCACACACAATAATCAAAGAGGTTGCAGTTTCGGGGGTTAGGTGGCCAGATATAAATTGTCTGACAGGCATGACTGGGTTCTGCTCGTGTGATATGGTGCAGAGTCATGTTGCCAGATATAGGGTTTTCCAGCAGCCACCCTCTTGAGCCATGGCAGCACTACTTCCTCAATGCACTTGATGTAGGCCTCTATGTTGAGTCTGAAGCCCATGTGGGAAGATGAATGGAGGCATAATGTTGCCATCACTAGTGATCACTCCAAACACCATAATGTTGATTGGATATATCCTCTGCACTGTCCTCAGACTGACACCCAAACACTCTGAAATGTTCAGAATGAAATGTTCAGAATGCATGAATGCCAAGCAGTACAGCATGCAGTTCCCAAATTTCTGGCAGAGAGAATTGCATCATGGTGCTCTTTTTCTCACACAGGCAATGGCCAACTGTATACTGTGAAATTGACAAAAATACCCCCCCCCAAAAAAAACAAACAACATCTATATGCAAAATTAAAAATATAAAATGGCGACAATTTATCCATTGCACCGTGTGTGTGTGTGTGTGTGTGTGTGTGTGTCCAGGCATATTCAATAACTACAAAGAAACAGAACAAATTTAAAAAAAACAAAAAACCCACAATTCAATAATAAATAATAGATACCTAGAAGCTGTAGATAAAAAAAAAATAAAATAAAAAAAGGGCCAAAATATGTGTATTTATCTAAAACAGAATGTGGGGTGCAATCATTCAAAACTTAAGTGCTTACAATTTCTGAAAAGAAAAGCCAGATCCTGATAATTCCAAACTTGCAGCATTCTCATGACAAATAAACACTTTTTTTTGGCTCATTTGGCTTTATTAAAAAAATAAATAAAATAAAATAAAAATGCAGCAGTTGGAACCCAATTAAAAGAACTCTCTGAATGGCATCCAAGCACATTCTCATAGAGTAATATTTCATGAAACCATGTCAAGCATCCGCTCAATGATTGGTAGGAAGTGGTGCATGGGTGGAAAAAAAAAAAAAAAAAAAGGAGGATCCAGTCACTCTCATCACACAAAATTGAGGAGTGAGTGAATGAGAGTAAATCAAATGGAAACAATTTGAAAAAGTTATCCTCCAACTCTTTAAATCAAGTTGTTGTCATTCTTTGTGGCAAGGGCTTTCAGATTGAACAGTCATCCAAATGGAAGATAGTAGAAGAGGGAGATAAAGAATAAAAATGTATAATTTTTTTTTTTATTTTCCACTAAAAGTGTTTATATATTGAATCTTCAATACTGAATCCCTCATGTTCTGAAATTACAGTTAATCTCTTTGAAAGGGTGCTGAAAAGTTCTTGGCCTAACTCACTTCCTAAAATCTGACCAAAGCAAATTTTCTCAAGTTAAATTATCAGCCCCCTCCCCAACCACATGTGTGTTGATATATCAACTTAGTATTTTCATTTGAAAATACATGTAATATTCATTCTGAGACATTAACACAAAATCAAAAGTGAAATAAAATATGATACTAAAGTGTAATATTCACATTCAAACTATTGTCTTAATCTCTTATTGTCATGTTTTGGCCATTGCATGAGCCAGCCTTCTTCAGGTGTTTGCTGACCTATGGAACAATGGCCTAGTGGATTAAAGCATTGATTTGTGAATTGAGTTCAATCTCTGGGCTGGGTAATGCAGACTCAGAAGAAACAAGGGCACTATAAGAAAAAAAGAGACATTGGTATAAGAAAAATCTACCTCTGTAGATGAAATAAATTCTCTGAAAGTTAACCATATCAACAGACAACTAAAGAGAACACCACAGTCAAAATCTCAAAATAAAATTGCTCTCTTTTAATCACCTGAGAGAACCCTTTTTACCTTCCATTAGCATGGCTGATGCTAACCTCCAGAAGAGCAACTCCTTGGGCTAACATTTTCTGTTGACATGAAGGAAGCTGAAGTGGAGAACAATCATAAATGTCCCCACATACATTCACTTAAAAAGCATATGCTGATTTGCATATATTTAAACAAATAATGTATACAATGATCCTTAGTAATAAAATAAACATATCAATAGAATTACCAAAATATATTGTGCAATATGGCTAAATGGAAAGTCACCATCGAAGACACTACAAAACGAAATTTAAAAAAAAAAAAAAAAAAGCTTACAGAATCGTTAATATGAAAATAGACTTTCTGTTCATCTAGAGATCTAAAGAGACTTGGGTACTTTACATTTGATTGATTAAAGTTTTACTAATTAACCCATAGCTGATGGGAGAAGTGGTGGATTCATAGCTTTCCCAAGGGTATTTGTGTGCAAGTAAATATAATGAACCCAATGGGAAATGGAATATGGCTCTCCAATTTCCAATTCTGAGCCATTATCCATTACATCACATGGTATTCCCAAGTAGTCACCCTTCTAAGTACTGACCAGCCTTGACATTGCTCAACTTCAATGATCATACGGGAACTGGTGTTTCAATGCAATGTGGCCATAACCCTCTTACTTTTGAATATCAACTAAATAACAACACAACCAACCAAGTTGTAAAGGAAATTAAATCTAAATAATTGCTGACATTTTTAACATCTATTAATTCTCAGTTACTTCATGTAATTTGCTGCACACAAAACAAGTCCATTGGGTGGAGTAATTTAATGAAGATTCTGGATATGAGCAAATCTTTTTGCTACCCCCACAATATTCCATGTAGAAATTTCACTTTGCATTCAGTCAAAATAATACAAGCAACAGAAAAAAACACTAAATGGAATATTAAATAATAATAAACATTGCTTAATAGTAGAGCATGAAAGTACAAGTCTCATACTCATTTTTTAGTGATAAGATGGTTAGAAATTTTTGAAATTTATTTCATAGCTGAGTATGGCAAACATAAAAAAATAAAAGATATGAAATTATATTAAGTGATACTTGCCATCTTTGAAAATCAGCACATGTGAGTTTGTATAGGTACATAGTGATGTATTGAAAGACAGGAAATTCATTTTTTTTCCCTTCTTTTGATATTTCAGATGTAATTTTAAATACTAAACATGGCATGTAAAGATAATTTTAATTTTTTTAAAGTGTGCTAGTTCAAAGGTATCAAAATTTAAACATCTTTATGTTAGATTAAATTTTGCAACACAATTTAAAGATTTAAATAACGTTTACATTTTATCTTTTTATGTAAACTGACTCAATTCTACTTTAAAAGTTGGTTTCTTCTTTGATGGAATATGTTTCATTAAAAAATATTTAAATTGATCAGGATACACATGTAATAATCACTGCAATTTCAGTGCAAATTGTAATGATTTCCATTTTTTTTAAAGTTTTTAAAAAATTAGTAACATTTTCCATTAGGCACTTGCTAATTTTTTTCCTACCCATGTTTGGCAAGAAACAGGTAAATATTTAGCAGGAAAGAATCTACAAAGGTAATATTGAAAAGATAGTGAAGTTCAGTCACTTTTCTTCTCCATAGAAAATTTTGGCCAGAATAATTGATCTGAACCGAGCTGCTAAATGGTGTGCTTGCCATAGAATGATTGTTTGCGTGTGATTTTTAGCCTTGTACCAGACTAAATTTTATAAATGCCTAGTGCTTTAGCTAGTCTGAAAAGTGTCATCACTGAAATTTTTCATCTAATTTAGGCACTAAGTGTAATCAGACAAGCAACATGTAATCTTAATAAATTTCATTTAAAGCAGGGATTAAATTTCTTTAAACTTACAATATAACATACACAGTATATAACTATAAGTGTATAAAACATTGAATTTTATTTAGATGAAATTATTGCAACCAGTACACCTATTTTGAAGATCTATACTAAATCATTTATTGACCTATTCTTAATAAACTGTAAAGTTAACATTTTAAGAATAAAAGTAGTTACTGAGCTTACCAGAAAATAAAAAAATTAAAAATAAGAAATTTAAAAATAAAAAAAATTTTTTTTAATTTTTTTAAATAAAAAAAAATAAAATAAAAAATGCATTATCACTTTTAATATACCAATTTAAAAACAGATTTGTACATTTTAAACAGGCTTCAACAGGAACAATATCTTCAATGGAGCATAGTGAGAGAGGAAACAGGAATTAGATTTTGAGGGTGGGGGAAGAAACCACTGGAATTTTCATGTTTGCAATATTGCCAAATTTTGATAGTGACATCACTCTGGGTGAGCAATTCAATTCATTGTTTACGTAATAGAAAATTGTACCAATCAGTGCCTATGACTGGTCTGCACATAACAACAATCCACTCAAACTGAACATTCTTGTGTATATTCTTATATATAAACAAAAATATTTTTATTTTTTTTTTTTTACATCAAGTCAACCAGTTTGTCAATGGGATAGAATCCGCTAACATTTTTTCAGTTATAAAGCCAGCAAGTTATAATACTGGATCTCAAGCTTAAATTTATAATATAGAAAGTCTTATTAAAATATCGAGATATTTCAGAGATAATATTTAGCTTTTACTTCTTTTGTGTATTAAATAACTCTTCCCCCTTGAAAGAAAATTTGTAATAATCAAAATTGACAATGTTGGAAAGTGTGTGTGTGGGGGAATATAGGAGTCAACATTTGTAAACATTTTATTTTAAACTTCAAACCAATTTTGTATTGATACAATTACTTAAAAAAAAAAGTGGCAATAACATTTGAGAGATCATATATGAGATTGACCTTTAATAAATGAATAGCTGCACCTAAAAGTGAGTAGTCTGTAGGTTTTCAAGGCAAAGAGTCATTGCATACTACATGCAATCTACTATCACAACACACTTTTTCTTTAGGATTTTGTAACCCTGGTTAAAAAAAAAACAAAAAAAAACAGGGTTACAAAATCCTATTTTAAATGCCTTAGTGGTGCCGAAAAGCTATCAACCTAACCAAAAATCTTTATAAAATAAAAAAAAAAAAAAAAAAATAAATATATATATATATATATATATATATATATATATATATATATAACAATCTTATGCTTGCTCATCTGAAGACTGAAAACTTTCAGCACACCCTTCATATTCTGCCAATCCATTTCTATTGGTCAACAAGTTTTGCATTAGTGTCATGTTCATAGAAAAAAAAATTTTTTTTCCCCTAAAAATCATATTTGCAATGTTTGTTGTGATTAATTTTGTGGTGGTGACTGTTCCCTAAGTTATTGTTGTTACTACCTTCTTTAGCAAAGTCAACAATATGAGGTAACACCACTGGATGCTGAAGAGTTTATACTTAAATAATGATCACATGGCAAATACCAAAGGACCCGTGTGAGAGTGAGACAGAGTATTTATCTGATCGTCTATGACAAGACCTAATTAAATGATAAATGTATGTCCAAATCGTTAGTTTATAAAGCTGAAATCAAATATTACGACGTGGTCAAGTTTTATGTGGGCTCTACAGAAAACCATTGGAAATCACACTTCAACCACCACCAAATGACATTAAGCAATATCAAATATAGTAACAGCACTGCCATCTCTAAATTTTTCTGGAAACTAAAAAGCAAAAATAGCAACCCAATTATCATGTGGGAATTAGTAGCAAAAGTTAAGCCCTTCAGCAGGAAAGGTAAGAAATGTAAGTCAGAGCAGGCTCAACTTCTAATACAGTAGAGTTCTTTCTGAAAATTTAATAATCCTGAAAAATATAAAAAATCCTAATCTCTTAAACAAGAGAAGCGAGTTGATGAGAACCAAATTTCTACTCAAACATGTTGACCCAGGTTAATATAGTCTAGCTGGATCTGGCATCCACATATACTAGTATTGATATTATTTATATTAATATTTTTACTTTTTGCTACATTCACTACACAACTATTGTTAATATTAGATTGTAACACATTTAACATTTTTGCTAATCCATTATCTTACTACCTTTTTTAATATATAACTATTATTGTTTTGTTTCTTTCTTTTACCTTTAATCTCACTATTAGCAACGTGTTTATTTACATAAATATTTGCATTTATTTTTTTTATTTATTCATCTGCCCTATTTATTTAATTATTTACATATTTATATGTTCCTATATATATATATATATATGTGGCTCTTTTTATTTTACTTTATCATATTTTATTTTATTTTCAGTGATATGTATTATTTTTATTAGTACTTTAATTTCATTTTATCATGGCATATTTTATTATTGATATCACTACTTTAGTTAGTTCAATAATATTAATATTTATATTAATAATTACTTTGATTTTAATGGTAAAAAATAGAGTTAACCCCCTTGATTTTCTAACGCCGCTTGTTTATTACCTTGATTACATCAGCGTCTCTCTAAATTAGAATTTATTATTATTTTCAAACTTATTTTCAATCTGGGCCTAAATTCAAAATTAAACCACAATTCATTTAAATATCTTAACAATAATATTCCACCCCAACAATAAAGTATCTTGCGGTAACCAGAAATTTTGTAAAACTGATGTCAATCCAAAATTAAAATAAATATAATGGTACTTGATAATTGCTTTGGCATGAAACTCCGAGTTGTGCAATCAATGTAAGGCATTTTTTATATTCCTTAATATATATATTAAATAGCTCTGTTATTTAACACTGAGCACTGTTTGTTTTTTTTCTTACATTATGTATTTCCTTATTTATGTAACTACCTATATTTACCCATTCAGTTGATTTATATATATATATATATATATATATATAGAGAGAGAGAGAGAGAGTGAGTGACAGAGACGGGAGGGAGACACGCCGACAAAGGTACAGAGAGGGAGACACGCCGACAAAGGTACAGAGAGGGAGACACGCCGACAAAGGTACAGAGAGAAAGAGTTGACAGACAGACAAATAAATAGAATGAAACAGAAAGAGAGTGATGTCACTGTGTTGGTGTAATCACAGATAGAGAAAACCTGTCCTAAATGAACTTTGTTTCATTCAGCCTATTTTTTTTCATTCATTTTATCAATGTGCATGTATAACCCATAATCATCCCTCACACACAATTACAGCAACTCATTCAATTGATTCATTCATTTAGCAAAATAACATACACCTGTTAATATTTCCTAACAACCAATATTATGATGTGGTGGAGAACTATTCCTCTTTTTTCAATCCTAATGTCAAAAGGAAACCCCTACCCATTTATATAAATAAGAATTGAACAATATATATATATATATATATATATATATATATATATATATATATATATACACACACACTGACAAAAGAAAAATACCTTTTCGTCAGTAAATGCTTTTTTTCTTCAAGCCCAAACCCAGGCTTCTTTACATCTCTGCTCAGTTTAATAATAAAAAATGTTTTAACTGATTTTGTACAGAAATCAATAGAGAGCAAATGGTTACACACAATTTATAGGCCAGAGTAACATAGTGACCACTTCGTCCAAATAATAATAATAATAATACTAGGAGTAGTGCTAGCAGTCTCAAGAGAGAACAAGAATAGACAGAATT